CTATTTTAATTATACGATATTACGAGTAATTATGTTAATAAAATAAAAGTAATTATAAGGTTCAATATGTATAAAACAGTACAAATATAAAGAGGGCAACAAGCCAAGTAAATTAACAAACAATTTAATTTAAACAATTATATAAACATATCTAAACAAACGTTTCGACTCCGATCGGGTCATTTTCAATGTTACATAAAATTAAAATATCTTGACTGAGTCAAAAAATATTCTCAATTCTATGAAAGTGTTTCCGTCAATGTTGGGGTCGTAAGTATAATTAATCCTTGTCAATAATAAAAGAAAAAGAAGTAAGTCACGATGCTCAAACTTTTCTTTTTCGTCATTTTTAATTAGAAAATATTCAAACTCGATCCTTTCTTTTATACTTGAATTTCACTAATCGCACCCACAGTGACAACTTACTTAGAATTGATAAATCAGCGCGGGGTATCCACTATTTCAGATTTAGAGAGAATGAGATTTATATAGTCTTACTTGCGATAGAATTCTAAGTCCCGACATCTCCGGCATTCGATTGGGTGAAATCCAATAAAAGAATGGTTCCGAACGGAAACCATGAATATAACTATGTGAGCAAATATGCAGACCATTGGTCACTCGTGTGGTGTACCGCGTTCCTGAACGACGATCAGCCAGCCAGCTGTTCGGCGCTCGTCCCGGGAAAATCCATCTCCGGATGTAAGCCGGCCTGATTACCACCATCACGCGCCGTTGTTTCTTGTTTGCCTTTAATCTTTCGCCGCTTCGCTAACGAAAAGTATACAATTTCCGCCGACCGCGCGCGCCTTCGCCTCTCGTTTTTTCCTCCCCTAGCGGTCTGTTTCGCCGCGTTCACTATATGAGAGAAAGCCATTATTCTCGTTATCAAGAAGCGCGAGAAGGACACTCTGTTGTCAATTTGCTAGGTTCGTTCTCTTCAACCGGCGCCACGATGCGACGACGCCGGGCTGATGAACGAGGCGAATTCTCGATGATTGCGCCATGATGAGAGACGTGAAGGAGATCGAGTAACCACCAAATGGGCTGGCACCCCCGATGCGTCGAAATTTCATCGACGTGTCGCGACGCGACACGACGCGACACTCTCGTATCGTGGACATGACATTGTGGAGGAATTATGGTAGCTGTGCTGGCGGAACGAGGCTAGTCGCGAAACGATGGGGGCGGGAGAAAGCGCGGACGAGGGCAGAGCACTGGGTGAAATATCGCGGTTTAACGTGACAGTTTAAGGGCGTTAACCCTGGCGACGCTAATGTCGTCTGCGCGATAGAAGGCGCGGTAGCCACTGACCGGCTCTTCGCCCCTTTGTAGAAATGGCGACCGTATTTCTTCCGCAACATTTATTAATATACGTTTCCAAAGTACAAGCCTGCAATAGCACTGGACGGGGTGAAAAATGGAGTAATTGTGAGGCGAAAAGGAGTCCACGAAGGCGAGTCGTTTATTTCGGTAGACGAGCATTTTGGTTCTTTTAGTCGACAATAAATAAAAGCGTATCTCGCAGATTAAGAGAATATATAAAGACACAATTTTCGAGATAAAAGACTTTTCGAGAGGAAAAAAAAGTTCAGTGACGCGCTGCTAAAATCAGTAAAATCACGGAAGATAGGGGAGGTTTTGATCGAATATCAGCGCGCACGTCGAATCGACGTACAATTCCCGATTGCGGAGAACGACGTGATACTATCAAAGCGAATAAATCGAGTTTCTCGTGGCCATGATCCCTGCGTGTGAACGTGCCTCACAGAAATAAGGGAAGGAACGCAGCCGATGTCTATTATTAAGCCGCACGATACACGTCAACCAAAAACGACGCCGAACAGCGAAATGGACGTTCCGCGTCGTATCTGGTACGGAAGGACCAGATTGCGCGCTGTCGGAATAATTGGCCCCAGCGCCAGTCGCTACACGAAGCGATTGGGAAGAAAGTGCAGATATTCGTTGTAAAACATAAAATTGTAGAATTTTGTATTAGAAGACTTAACGACGATAACTACTATAAGAATCAGATGGAACAGCACTTAAGGGAATTCTAAAGTCATCTTTTTGTCCCAATTAATTGCTGCAATCATTTTTATGGAGGATTTCTATTCCAGAATTAAAATATTAAAAAATAATTAAACAACAGGGCTACGAGGCAACATTCGTTAAAATATAAAGGTGTTAGTAAATATAAAATGTCATTAGTTAAATATATTATATAAAGTTTAATAAAATTTAAAAACAGACGTTTCGACCTTTATTAGGTCATTTTCAATGTTAAAAAAGTCGCAAAATCGTTAACGATGTACAAACTATGGTAATTATAAAATTAAAAAAGCGAAAAAATGTATAAAAATATTGACAAAAAAACGAAAAATACGTATATAAATTTTTGGATGTGGGTGTTTAATCTCACTCTCAATTGGATATACTCAATCATATCGGCGCACTTTGGCAAGAGTCCATCAAACAACGCAATCATCGAATTAGTTTATGAAATACTCTACATTTCTAAATCAAATAGTAAAGTAATAATACAGTGTGTCAGTGATAAATACAAAAAATAATGAAATGAAAATAATGTAAGAGTCAATTCTCAAGGCAATAAATTGAAATGAATATAATGTAAAATTACAACAAATTGTACGTATCCATTTTATTAATTTAGTATCAATTAAATTAAATTATAATCAATTACCTTGTAAAATTGTATCAAAGTACAATTATGATTAGTTTATAATTAGAACAATGCGAAGAGAGACCATTTTAGATTTAAAATATTAAATAATATATACTGACCTAGTGGGTAGAGTTTATACTGCGAGAACGAAACATGTTTTGAAATTGAATTCTTTGCCATTTCTTAATCCAATACGGCGTCCAGAACTGCCAAGTCGTGTGACAACATTTGCTTAATATAAAAGCTCAACAATCTGTACTTATGAAATTGGAGTCTCCAGACTAGTAAAAAGAATACATGAAGAAACACCGTTGCTCTTAACACCTAATTTGATATGAAAATTTATGACGCGCGTGCATTGAAAAAGAAATTTGCTAAATCTTGATATATACATTTGTTTGAACTTTTACTCACAATAAATAAATATTTACTAAATAACAAAAATGGTAGTGAAATTAAATTAATATTTTTGTACCAAATAAATGTACGTTTACATTTAGTAAATATTTACTTACAATTAGAACTATTTAAACAAAGACATCTGTTGAGCTTAATAATTTTTTTCGATATATGTGTAGGTACGCGTTATACGATATTAATGCAGTAGTGATGTCACGTAAGTCGTACCACGTATGTTCCATTAAATCGGTAAAACAGTGATCCCATCGGAGTTTGGTCTTCAGTTTAGGATCCCCTTAAAAGATTAGCTGTGGGATCTATCGGCGATGGATTATCCGTATTTTCCTTCCGGCTCATCCGCAGACGTATCGCGCCATTGGCAACGCTCCAGAGGGGTGGATAGGGCGCATCAGGCGGCACCTCTTAATAATAATAGCGATAAAGCAGCCAAAAGGGGCACTCTTCGCGTATGCGCGCGAGACACGCTTTCTGCGAATGCGTCGTCTTGAAATGAAACTGCGAGACGAAAGATGAGAAGGATCTCACTCCATCGCGTGCGTCTTCCTACATCGTCGCTCTCTTCCTTCGCGACTTCTTTCCCGGTTTTACGGCTCGTTGGCAGCAGAAATTCCGCGTTAAACGCATCCGCTATTCCCCCGTTTTCGAATAGCACCGCGACCAACAGATTTAATATAATGAGATGCGACGTTTCCTAAGTAGTTGGCGAAGGAATATCTCCGGCGCATTCTATGAATGCCAATGGAGCGATAACGATATTTCGTAGATGGTAAAATATATTTATGATATATATATATTTACGAAGCAGAAGAAGCTATAGGAATTTCACGTATTGCATAAATCGGAGCGCTGCGGCCGCTGGTTATTCTCCAATATATACATCGACAAAAAATGCGAAAAAATTGAATGACCTAATAATTTTTGCTTTTGTTTACTCGAAAACTTTTGGCTATAACGAAGAAAACCGCGGATAATAAACATCGACGAAAATGTATCCGTTGCTCGGTCCGGCGATTTACTATGTCAGACGAATGTCACTTGCGAGAAATTAAACGAATGTCGAGAGTGTAGAGTCATAAAATACAAATATTTGTACTACGCATCAACGATACGCGAATGTTTATGTTGGACACATATTGCCTAATATTTCTCTTCGCTACAGGACGAGCATCGCGTTGTACGCGCGCGCGATGTTTGCATTCGAAACAGCGATTTTCATAAAGAAACCAGTGACGTTCGATAAACGACTTTAGCGTCAGCATAAATGTTTGCCGGCGAATATGATTTTCCGGTTCGGAATACGCGCTAGAGATACTATCAAACGCGATATTAACGCACCGCTTGGAAACGTTCCGTTACGTTACGTCATAAAATTCAACTCGTTAAAAGCGAGATTAATTAAGTTCTGCAATATCCTTTTCAATTAGCATGAATTTACCATGAAGGCGTGATTTTCTACGTTTTAACGTTGCCGCGCGCGGCCGTCGAAATGACGTGCGATATTAATTACGCTGCCTAGAAAATTTCTTCCTGTATGCCGATCGGATATTGAAAATTACTCAACGTGTTTTCCGCCTCTCGTAATTCGACTAATTCAACTGCGACTCCGTCGCGTAACAGTTTTTAATAGTCCGTCGAATTTTCGACCCGCGCGCGCGCAAGGAAAACAATCCTCGACATATTTACGTCCGCCTCTAATTATCCATGCGAGGATAATAACCATTTGGGGTAACTCCCGTCGGGTTCATCGCTTCCGCTCGATCGGCCGGAAGCTGACGATATCCTGCCGTTCGATATACATATATACGAGTTGCGACGGGCTTAGCGCCGAGCAAAGGGGATCCCACCGTGCCTGTAAGTCGCTTCTGCGTGCCTCAAGCCATCTGTTCTTCCGTAGGATTATTTCACCGTGTGGTATTATCCAGCGGCTCGGCACTAAGTCCTTGGGCCTCAGTGCACGACCCGAACGATATCAGGGCGAAGATCGGAGAACAGATGGGTTGCTCGACCGAGGGTGACGAAGATATAGCTGACTGCCTCCGAGGAGTACCGTTGAAGACCCTCATGGAGGTGCAATTACCGGAAATCAGGTAAGCGCTTAGACACAAGCGAAGCGTTGACGAATATTCATTCTCCTTTCCTCGCGAACGGATAGGCGTCTACATTTTGTCAAAGGAAAATTGAAATAATATGAAATATGTATTGCGAAATGGGACAGATGGAATATATATCGATACTTCTTTTCCATCTTTTTATTTATGATAGCATATCGATGTAATAAATATTACCCTTGGAATCGCCCCATTTATACCACACACATATACGCATATATAGGGTGTTCCAAAATTTGTAAATTAAATAAACATGAAAGTACATTTTGATTTCAAGCAATAATTTTTCAGATATAAATACAGTCTAATCTAATTACATTAGATAGTTAATTATCTGTTTATGAATTGCGGTAGTATTAGTATTAGATAATAAGCTCACTTCAGCGTCTCGTTCGTAATTGGCCACATTTAAACACTTGTTATTTCACAAACTATTGCTTAGAATAAAAATGTATAAACAACTTGTTTTACTTAATCTTTTTGAAACTTTCTTATTGCAGTATTTTGATTCACGATTTTCGAGACACCCTGATGGACAGATATGTATATACAAATATATATCGCGGAATTCATATTCATCGCTTGAACGAATCCAATGAAGTTATGCATTTCGATGAAAAGTGGAAACGTTGGATTGTAAAAAATTCAATATATATGATTGATTCGTTAAAAAAATGACGTCTAGCTAGCGCGACACAGCAATTACTGTGTTACAAATTTATAACAATTTCATGAGTCCATGGCTGCGATGATTTATGGTAAACTGTCATGAGTTGTCGAAGCTTGCGTGTGACGATATTTAAAGATCTTGTAGTGTTATAAATTACCGCGTGGATGTTTACGCAATTAGAAATCGAAAGTCGCTGGATCTTAAATTGAATTCTGTCGATACTTGTGCATTGCATTAGATAGGGACTCACACACAGGACGTTAACCTGTGCGAGTGCATTTACGAGTGTATTTATCGCGAGGTTGGAATGAATATGTGATACTAATTGCAAGGATAATCACGTGCACGTACGCTGAATTATCGGATTATACCGTGTCAGATCGTGGTAGGTTAATAACTCTCGCTTTATTGATTTAATACCGTTATTATATCAATTTAATATCGCAGTCGTTTGCGCGAGTGAGGTATAGGTCTGACTTTCTCGTTTTGTCCACCGCAGATTTGTGCCCCGCATCGGGCCGGGCCTACCGGTGGATCAAAACAATCCCGATCCGGGTCTGGACATGGAACGCGCGAGCGATGCGTTCATCAAGGTGCCGCTGATCCTAGGTGTCTCCACGACCGAGTCGAATCTTGACTTCAACAACAACGACATACAATTCGGCTTCGAAGAGGATCATCGGAATCGCATCCTTCGCACCTTCATCCGTAACGCCTACATCTACCATCTGAATGAAATCTTCTCGGCGGTAAGGAACGAGTACACGGACTGGGATAAGCCGGTACTTCATCCCATCATAATACGGGACTCGACCATGGAGGCATTGAGCGATGGTCATACGGTCGCGCCACTCATGAGAATCGCCTTCTACCACGCCAGGCGGGGCGCTAAGACGTACTTTTATCACTTCAATCATCAGTCCAAGGACAGCGGTTACGTCCAGGTAAGACACGCTCTCGTTATATATCGCGCGCTTCGAAAACAAAGTTTCTCGATGCGAAGAAATTTTATCGCGATATCGTAATCATTTTATTCTTAAATATCGGAATTTCGTATAGCGTAGCCATTTTTTTTGTTTTTTTTTTTAATTTCCAAGGCGTAAGAGATTTCCGAGAGAAATGTGCGCAGGACGATGCGCGAAGATAGCAAGAAATCGCGTAACTTAGCTGTCGTTGTCGATCGACGGGGATATCCGCGGTATCTCGAGGCGTCGATTTTTCTCTATCGTAAAACGATATCGTCCACCCTGCTAACACAGCTATTGTACACCACCAACACAGTGGAAGGTGGAACGAGTGAGTGGAAGAGACGCTGCTTAAGTCTGAGTTAACTCCATTAACTTGACGTCCCGAAGAGAGACTAACGTTCGCCCTCGACACCTAGTAATCCGCCGGCACTTCCAGTTAAGGAAGCACAACCCGTTCAATCCCTTCCCAACGCACTCTCTCGATCCTACGTCCTCGTAGCTCATCCGTCTCACTCTGCGTCGCGCTCGATCCATACCCAGCTGGTAACCGCTGGCCATGACTTCACGATGAAGACACTGATTTAATAAAACGCCCCGAGCGACCCGCGCGCACCGTGTTCGCATTTTGTCTCGGGAATGACGGGGATTTGTCACGCTTGACATAATAATATCGGGAGGACAAGAAAGAAATTGTTATATCGGCCAATTTGTAAGGTCGCTGCCAAGCGGCGCGTTAAACTCGCGACGGGGAAACAGATTGACGTTTTCAATTTATAGAGGGAAAAGGAGAATCGTACGGTGAGCTTAAGAAATTTCGTATGGCGTGTTTGTAGATATTCAAGAAAACGAATTATCTCCGACGTGGAAGTGCAGTATTATCCTCCTCGCGATATTATCTCCCTGGCGGTTTGAAAACGCCCGTAGATATATAATGAAAGTCAGCGTTAGAGCGGTGTGCGTCCCCAAAAGTTTAAGTTATTTAATCTCACTCGGCGAGGGAGGAGTGCAGGTGGTCGTGTAGTTAACAGCGATTCAGAACATCAACGTTACTTTCTCCCCCCCACCCCCCTTCCCTGTCCACATGAGATTTAATTAAGCCGAAAGATTCGCCCTTTAAAGAAATCCTAAAGTTTTGTTTTACCGATTATTTTTCAAGTAAGTATTTTTCTAATTGCCTTTAGACTAGATTTAAAATCGAAAACGAAAAAAATTGGAAAATTACAGTTTTGTTATCGCAGCTTTTGGTGTCAATTTATAACAATTGATCTGTTTTCTGTTCCCGTACTAAACTGCACTAGAACGAGAGTTCGACAAATATCAAACTGGTATACCTTTCTCATTTTAAGTTCCAAAAGTGTTCTTCACTAGTTCAGCCACAGAAAACAGACCTAATACAATATTTGCTCTATATACAAGTTTGATACTTTGTATGTACATATAAAACACAATCTTGGTTTGAGTTAGGGATTACATGAACAAACAATTGAGTTCTTAGAATTAGATACTAATATAAAAGTTGGAAAATTGGTATACGTGTGTGCGCGCGCGATATCGATGTACTTAGTAGGGTGTAGTAAATGATATGTGTATGAGTCCTACTGAGAATCTATATAAAACAAACTTATTTGGGATCCCCTTAATAAGTCGCGTAATCGCAACTGACTCTGTGTGTCGCACTGATTTACCAGGCGCGCGATAAAAAGAAAAAAATGAGCGAATTAGACGAGACGAAGGCGGTAAAAGCCGCGCTGAAGAGAGATATACAAAGAAAGCGATATCAAGAGCACTGAATGCAAATGCGATGAATTTATTTGAATTGTTAATCGCGTTTTCCGCCTGCCACAGTCCCCTCGTGCATTCTTTCCCACGCACGCGTGCTAACAGGGATCAGTGGTATAATACGTACATTTCACGCAGCATGATAGAGATTAGCCATCGAAATTATGCATTTGCAGTACAAAGCTCTGCAAAGGATCGAAGAGACAATTTCTGGACAATCGTCACCGTTCTATTAATTACCGCTAAAATTCTAGTAATTAACTATATCAATGATTAACTAATATTCTGTTTCGGTTAATTAAATAAAACAATCGCCAATAGCTGTTGATAATTTAACAATTGACATGAATTACACAAATTGCGCGTGCAGTAAATACTATAATATCTTGCGCTTATGAATGTACATACGTAGTGTCGGCCGTATAAATTATCGATTACGGAGCTTGGTTGTGCCATTCTCCGATTCTCTGAGTGGGAAATCTCGTTGCAGCGCCTGGGGAGCGTTCGTGGGGAGGACATACCGTATATTTTCGGACTGCCGTTGGTGGCAGGCGGAGCTTTCTTCCCGCGGAATTATTCCCGACAAGACCAGGGCGTTGCAGAGGCCGTACTCACCTTCTTCACCAATTTCGCCAAGACCGGTAACCCAAACGAACCGCACAAGATCGAGTCGGTCGACTATGGCACGCCGAAGGAGAAGACGCGATTCCGCGGTCTCACATGGGAACAATATGAGACAGGATCTCAGCAGTATCTCACGATAGGTACGTTCCGCTCTCGAGAAGCGAAGTAGTTTCACCGTTATTTTTCGATAAATTTAATTTTCTACAAAGCGACTTCCTCCGTTTCCTTAAAAGGATCGCGACGTTTCACGAGAAACGTCGCGAGCTAGCTTTTTAAATTCTCTGAAAAGTTTCTTCAGAATTTTGATTGTATACAGTGGACTTTGTCCGCCTTGACACGCGTTCTCCTTAAAATTTCTTTAAAAAGTTCAATTGTACGTCCTTTTAAATGAAATTATTTCTTGATAATAATTACGTAAGAGATATTCTTTAATACGATATTCGATAATTATAATTAATTTGTAATTAATAATTAATGTGCAGATAAGATCGAAGAAGAGGCGTTTTTAATTATCAAAATTTTAATTTTAGCATTGAAACCGAAGATGAAGAGTCATTATCGCGGCCACAAAATGGCTGTATGGCTTAATTTGATACCGCAACTCCATCGTCCTGGCGACGATGACGTTTCAATGCGGCATCATCACTTTCGGGAACGAGGCGATCATTATTACGCAGGTGAGATCATATCTTGCGAAGGAAGTGAAAGTTGCAATTCTTATTTCTTTTTCGCTTAAGATGATATCACTGCACTCAATTATTCCCTGCTTTATTATTATTATTATTATTCAGGACCGGTTCGAGACGAATGGTACACGCCACTGCCGCTGACGGGCACGACTCGGACGAGTTCTTCCTCAACTACCGCCTGTAGCACATCTACGGGAGGTGAGGATAGCCTTATCGAGGATATTACTCCGATTCTCGATGATTCCGAGGACGATGCCGAGCTGCTGCAGAGACTGGCGTCTCGACATTACTACAGCACGACCACTGCCCTGGGGATTACCGTAGGCGTCGGTTGCATCCTTCTGGTTCTGAATATGCTGATCTTCGCTGGCATTTATTATCAGCGGGATCGCGACAAGAAACGTGCCGCCATGGACTGTAGACCGAATGGACAGGAGTCTCTGCCGATGACCACAAGGACGTCCATGAAGCCCTCCGATAAACCGCGACCTGCTCAAGAGCCACCCCCCTCGTACACAACTCTCGCGAGAAGTCCTTCCATCCAGGAACAGCAGCAGCTCACGCCGGCCCAGGAAGGCCTGCAAGACAGCGAGCAGTTGAGGAAAGAATCGAGATCCGGTCATGGGACCAGCGGCAAGGACGCGATCCCTCCGAAACCGCCCACCAGGACCACCAGTTCGCTCACCACTGCCGGCAATACCAACACTATTAAGAAACGCGTGCAGATACAAGAGATATCCGTATAGCATTAGGGGTTGCCCCCGGAGGGCAACGCGCGGACGAAGCGAGTGACCTTTATGGACTCGGAAAAGGCCACCACGGAGTCTAGATTTTAAACGATATATTCTCTTAATTGAACGGTGCGTCAATCGAGGGAATTTTTCATTTATCGCGATCTTTTATGCAGGGTGTATTGTGTGTGAATTGTGGTTAAAAACGTGGTCAACGTATACAGCGCGTCTGGACTTTAGCCGTTACTACTGAAAATGGTCGATTGTTGTCGACTCTTACTACTTGCAGTGCGACATGACTGACTATATAGCGCGGTCGCGCTACTGAATTCTGTTATTACTGCTAAATTGCGCCTGACTGTTACTACTACTTGTGACCGGTTCTTTCTACTGGTAGGAATGTAAGATTGCACGTGATCGTTATTTCTAATAGAGACGTGGATTGTACGTAGTTGCTATTTATAATGAAACGGAATATTCTTTGTTGTTTTTAAGAAAGTGATTGCTAAAGTACTCCTCGTGACTATATTACAGGTATATATATCAGGTGCTCGCAAAGTATTTTATTCAAAGGACATTTTTGCAATTGTCTTCAATCGACACGACGTTTCCTAGCCATTCAATTCATCGGAATAAATATATTGATTCTCTCAGAGACTGTGGCAAATAGGTGGCCTTAAGCATCACTACAGTATATAAGGGAAACGTGTCGGTATTTTCGATATCATAGAAAAAGAGCGCCTGACTAGGAAATATTGAAACGTATAATGAAATTCTTAAGAAGCTCTAAATTGAATTCTTTGTTAAAAAGTAATTATACGTATAAGAATACCGGGTACGGATCGATGCGCGGTAATCGACGACGACAATGACGAATCCGATCTAAAAGATCTCGAAACGGAATCGGAATACCAAAGCCCTGTACACGATCGCATACCAGTCTCCTCGACGACTGCTTTGTAAAGCATCGATTGGAAGGAAGAGGCACTCGATTCGAAACGGATCAAACGGATTGGATGCGATAAGCGTCTGTTATTCGCAAGCGAAACGAATACGATGTACGCGGAAGTACCATTCGTAAAGTGAAAGTGTCGTTTCCGCCTTTGCAACACCTGGCAACACATATAGCTAAGCTATACATCCTTCGAGAAACGTGTAATTTCGATCCTGCCGAGGAGAACGGCTTACTTAATAGCGCTCGCGAGTGCTCGCCAAGTTTACTCGAGCGGAAAGCGCAATTCTCCAACCGCGTTACCTGTCGCGCAAGTGCACAATTACGAGTGCATTCGACGGAGGTAAAGCCGTAGAACGGCATCGGGAGTACGAGAGACTACGACCGAGCAATGCGACGACTTTCGAGAGGGCGGACTCGACCTTCCGCTGAGTGTTCTTCTCGTAGAGAATAGTCCGACAGTCACAAGTATCGTACCACCACGAAATTGCGGCTAGAACTCTTCATCGTGATGATATATACGCGTTCTGTAAAACCACTTCCACTTACGGTACGTTTCTTGTTCGAGAACCTCGAAATTTCGCGATTGACAGTACATCTCGTATATTCTTTTCTACTTTGACATACAAAACAAGGTACGAATATTAATACCGTATAAACTTCAGTATTAACATCATAATTAAATATTGATATATTGAACATGTCTATATTTTTAATTACAGTATTTTAATTAACATATTACAGAATTCAATATATATATATATATAGCAGCATAATTTTTAATTTTACATTAATTAAATGTACAGTGAGATGAACTTGTTTGATGACACTTTGATTCTTTGGCCAAAATTTATAAAAATGTAATTCCTTCGATCGCGGCCTATCTAAATTGAGAGATCATCGCCAAGATCAAGTATCTGCTCAAGATATGTAACAATAAAGAAAAAAAGAAAATGTAATTTCTCTTAAAGTAGAACTAAAACTTATCTAGAACTCTCTCGCTCTCTCTCTTCCTCTTCCACGACCAAATATCCTAAGACGTGATCGCGCTCGTGTTTGCAGAGATACATTTTGTCTTTGTAGAGAGTTCTTAATCCTGAATTAATATTCATGACCTGAGATCGTTGAGACCGTTATACTCAACACAGATACTAAGTTTTGAAAGTCATCCTCGTCATTATATGCAACTAAATCAGTCCGCGCGCGAAAATGAAATGCGCTTCTCAAAATATAATGGAATGGGATATAATTATGTTACTATTCAATAACAAAAATCAGGCATAGCAATATGAAAAGCGGAAAATATAAATACGACCACTGATAGGTTTTTACATACCAAAATGTTTCTATATCATGTTTATATCTTGATTATTGAGATTGTGGTAAGGAATATGAATCTGAAATTTATTCGTACAGAACGATAACCAATCATACAAGAACTGAATTTTCTAACAATTTAACTGTTATATCTTAGAAATAAAAACAATATCTTTTTCCACCTAAAATGAGTTTTAAAATCATTAAATATTGAGAGACTGTCTAAAGAAATAAGATTCATCTAATCGATACGTACGATTCCTCGGCACATGAAACTATACATATGTATCAATACGATGTAAGACCGTAAAGCTGTAATTAAGTACTATGTAGCATAATATATGCACAGTGTCGCGTAAAATCATATTGCCGATTACAATAGTTTTAAGTACGTACATACATCATTACGTATAATTTTTCAAAGTAACTGTTCGCGAATGATATGATCTTTAACACGTTGTGATACTTGCGTGAAGGTAGTATATTGACGCATGTAAAACGACAGTGAAATTTAAAAAAAAATACGTGTTATAGTCTAGAAAAAAAAAAACCAATTTGTAAATTTCACTGTACAACAATAAATACCAATTTATAAAAATACATGGCGATTTTTGTTTGCTAATCGTCCATCGAGACGAAATTATATCAATTTTTAAATTTTTGATTAGTGTAAAATGTTAAATAATTAAACATAACGCACGCATTTAACTAAACATAGATGAAACTATATTTTCAAAGTATTCAAAATAATATACATGAAAAGGAAATGTGTAACAAAAAGTTTAAATCAAATCAGTTTCTAATGATAAATTATGCTAGACATAATTTAATATTTCCTTTTCTCTATGTAATTAGTTAATGCAATGAAAATAACATGTAATGTACACTATATAACTTAGAAGATTTCAGGATAAATCAATCTTATTCGATAGCTCTTTTCTTAGCAGGAACTGTATCGCGTGAGGGACTGTTACCTCTCTTTTTCGCACTCCGTGCGCCACGTCCTTTAAACATAGAACAATTTTGTTAGTAATTGCTTTTTTAAAATGCAAAATTATTTTGTATCGTAATAAAGATTTCAGTTGTTTTAAGAGTTTAACTCAGCGAAATCCATATACGTAATTTATATATGTACATGACTTCTCAGTATTAGCATGGCAAAACATCATCATATACTTGATAGTCAACAATTGTATTATTTTAAAATGAACTTTTACCCTTCTTAGCGCCTCGCTTGGATTTGTTAAACTTGTTCTTTGAAGCTACTATATCTTCCATCGCTTTAGTAAGGTACTTATCTTCTTCCTCACCCTCGAGCATTTTACAAGTAACTTCAATGTCTTGGATTACCACCTTAAAACATGAAACATTTTTTGCTTACTGTAATTTTAAAATTATCAGAGGAATTATTATAGAATAGAAAAAATTTTGTAAATTTTTTTCTCACCTTGCCTTCGTTTGTCTTTTCTAACAAAGGTTTAGCAGCATTTTCTCCCTGCAAACGTACCCAACCTTCCGTATGTCCTCTTTGAAAATCGATGTATGCGATATCAGCATCAAATTTGTCTAAACATTCTTTGACATCTTCTCTTGTACACGTCTTGGAAACACCGGAAAAGTAAATAATTGAACCTTTTGGTAATTTATTATCTGTTCCTGCAGAGGTTTGTTCAGCTTCATCATCTTCAGTCTCTTTTGTCTCCTCTGTCTAAAGAAAAAAATATATTAAAACATAAATAAAAGACCAATTAAAAACGATAGATCATACGTTTTTATCTATTTGCTTTACTTACAGTTGATTTCTTTGGTTTTTCTTTCTTTTTCCTACGTTCCTCCTTCTCTTGTGCTTTTTCTACATAATAATCCGCACTAAAAAAATTATCCATCAAAATATAGATTTTATATATATATATATATATCCCTATATACACAGGGAAGGGCATTTAAAACAGATCACCTGAATAACTCGCTTGTTTTTGACAATAGAAGAAAAAGTGTCAAACAAAAGTTGCTTGGTTTCGAGGGGCACATAATGTGATGTCAATAATTGTTTTTTTGGTGGAGACGCTAAAAAGATATGAAGGTCACCTCCACTTTTTTAAATGGAATTATGTAATTTTTTTTAGATAACGTGATTCCTCTAATTATTTTGCATATAAAAGTGTTAAGGTAAAGATACCAAAAAACCAATAGTATTTTCGAGATATTTTACACTTTATTTTGATACATATTGACACAAAATGTTAAATAACTCGTAAACTGTTGACTTTTTGATTATCGTACCTTAACCACTTCACTGGCGCGACGCCAGTAAAGGCGTCAAGCGTGACCTGGCCCAAACTGGCGAAAATACGTGAAAAGGCGTCAAAACTATTTCTCCATTATTAAATTCTGTAACTAATTTTTATACATGTAAACATAGTATTCTTATAGTTTAAGATTCAGAGAACACGACTATGCTACTAAAAATTTAATTTTGTGAAGTTTTCATTGTTTTTTAGAACTTTGAATATCAACAATTTTTAATACTTTTAGCCGATGGCGTCAAGCGATTACTCAGATATTATACTAGATTTTCGGTTTATTTTCTTTATAGAATCAAATTTATACACCAATGAGTTAAAATAAGTAATTACTATATAATAATTCAACTAATTAATTATTAAAAAATGTAATATTTAATAAATAATGAGAAACACAATTATAATAATATCAGTGTAATAAAATATGTAAAATTACATATAACAATTTTTTTAAAATATGTAATTTTACATATTTTATTACACTGATATTATTATAATTGTGTTTCTCATTATTTATTAAATATTACATTTTTTAATAATTAATTAGTTGAATTATTATATAGTAATTACTTATTTTAACTCATTGGTGTATAAATTTGATACTATAAAGAAAATAAACCGAAAATCTAGTATAATATCTGAGTAATCGCTTGACGCCATCGGCTAAAAGTATTGAAAATTGTTGATATTCAAAGTTCTAAAAAACAATGAAAACTTCACAAAATTAAATTTTTAATAGCATAGTCGTGTTCTCTGAACCTTAAACTATAAGAATACTATGTTTACATGTATAAAAATTAGTTACAGAATTTAATAATGGAGAAATAGTTTTGACGCCTTTTCACATATTTTCACCAGTTTGGGCCAGGTCACGCTTGACGCCTTTACTGGCGTCGCGCCAGTGAAGTGGTTAATACTTTTGTGAACAGAATAATGAGATAAATCAAATGGTGTAAAGAAAACACATAGTTACGTATTTAAAAAATTATCCATTTTGTATACATATTTTTTTTAAAGCAACTATGTGTTTTCTTTACACCATTTGATTTATCTCATTATTCTGTTCACAAAAGTATTAAGGTACGATAATCAAAAAGTCAACAGTTTACGAGTTATTTAACATTTTGTGTCAATATGTATCAAAATAAAGTGTAAAATATCTCGAAAACTATTGGTTTTTTGGTATCTCTACCTTAATACTTTTATATGCAAAATAATTAGAGGAATCACGTTATCTAAAAAAAATTACATAATTCCATTTAAAAAAGTGGAGGTGATCTTCATATCTTTTTAGCGTCTCCACCAAAAAAACAATTATTGACATCACATTATGTGCCCCTCGAAACCAAGCATCTTTTGTTTGACATTTTTTCTTCTATTGTCAAAAACAAGCGAGTTATTCAGGTGACCTGTTTTAAATGCCCCTCCCTGTATATCCCTGTATAGGAGTACAAATTAGTTCGGTCCGTTTTCCAAAAAATAATCGCCTCCAAAGACGAGTCATTTTTTCGAGATGGAATTCGAAAATTACCTGAGAGATGGGAAAAAGTAGTAGCCAGCGATGGACAATACTTTAAAATCTGTTCATTCATTTTTGTTTTAAAATAAATGCATTTTTGAACACAAAAAACGGATCGAACTAATTTGTACACCTATATATAATAATAAAATTATATAATATATATCTATCAATTCTTTTTACTTACGCCCACTTCCTTATTAACTCAGTATCTCCATATTTTACAGATTCTATATTCATAAATGCTTTAGCGGTATCGAAAGTTTCAAACTGCACAAAAATAGATCCTTTGAATTTAAACACTTTATCTTTATCAAGATATTTTCTCATCTGCAAAATAAAATTTGAGATAAACGCATTAGAAATAATTTTTGATATACATACAGAGTAAGGGCATTTAAAACAGGTAATCTTAATAACTCGCTTATTTTTAACAATAGAAGGAAAAGTATCAAACAAAAGTTGCTTGGTTTTGAGGGGCACATAATGTAATGTCAATAATTGTTTTGTAGGTGGAGGTGTAAGGTTAAATCTGTTTTTTTTTTAATGGAATGTTTTTTATTTACATTCTGATAGAGCATTTTAAAATGAACACAGTGACCTATAATTGAAGGTCATTCAAGGTAACGCAAGATCAATAATGGAAAATAATTGAATGGAAAATAAATTGTTTCAAGGCAACTCTTCGAAAAATTTCGTCTTCTCTGCTTGGTATACCGCTAATCGTTCAAGTGTATCAGGGTATGCAAATAAACATTGAATCGCACATAGCATTATCTACATTTACTGCTCAGTTTAAATTTATCTATTGATCGAAGTGCGTGTCTTGCGAAGTGCGTTACATGAAAGCGGAAAAAGTCTATATGATATTCATCTATATGATATTTATCATGGTGATCTATATATTTCACAAGACACGCACTTCGATTAATAGATAAATTCAAATTGATCAATAAATATGGATTAATGCTATGTGCGATTCAATGTTTATTTACATACCGTGATACACTTGAACGATTAGCGATATACAAGCAGAGAAGACAAAATTTTTCGAAGAGTGCCTTGAAACAATTTGTTTTCCATTCAATTACTTTCCATTATTGATCTTGCGTAATCTTGAATAACCTTCAATTATAGGTCATTGTATTCGTATTAAAATGCTCTATCAGAATAAATAAAAAACATTCCATTAAATAAAAAAAAAAACAGGTTTAACCTTATCTCCACCTACAAAACAATTATTGACATTATGTACCCCTAAACCAAGCAACTTTTGTTTGACACTTTTTCTTCTATTGTTAAAAACAAACGAGTTATTCAGGTGACCTGTTTTAAATGCTTCACTCTGTATTTATTTCAATATTCATGTGTATGTCCAATATATTAAATTTGTTAAATATTCTAAATAGTCAAACAAATTGAGAAATAAATAGCATAAATACATTAATTTGTGTTCATTTTCATCTTGTCTAATTCAAAATATATTTATAGTATTAACAAATATCAGGTCAAGCATAGCATATCAGACAGAGCACTGGTCTATCAAGCCAGAGATCCCGAGTTCGATCCCTGGTAGAAATCAAAATATTTACGCTCTCCTCTTGGAAAAACCTCCTAAGAGTATCCTTACCCATAGAAATACCTTTTGAAAAATTTACTATTTGGAACCAGCATTAAAACTATAGATCCCATATGCTTGTGATAAACTGAATATTTAGTGTGTGCACCACAAGCATATGAGAAAGATGTGTAACACAAGGCAGAGGTCTTTGTTAAATTAATATCAGAAGGACAATTTATTTGTTGCCTAAAATGTTATAATTTACTCATTCTATATCAAACAAATTAATATACCACAATTGTTTCAAATGGCTTGTACGGTTCAAAAAAGGCTTTCAGTTTCTCAATAGTTGTGTCAGTGAACGGAAAACCTTTAACATAAACCGTTCGAGCTTCCTGCGCTTTCCTATATCCTTCATTGTACTCTGGCAGTGGATGCTTTGGTGAACGACGTATTTTTTTCCTGTCCTCAGATATTTCCATGAGATCGCTGGTTTCTAATGCTTTCAGAATCACATCAACATTTTTGCTGAGAGAAGCTAGCATTTTAAAATTTAACATGACAGTCATTGGAACCCAGCCTTCATCCAGTTTTGTTTGATCAATGAGAAATTTATCCCTCTGCATATTAACATTGCCAAAGTAGTACTGCAAAAAGAAAATAACATTACAAGGAGTAATGTACAGAGCGATGTATAATATTGTATGAAAATGGTCAACTCATAGTTAGTAAATTTTGGATTTGATCCTGACTCACTACTTTTTTAGGAGGAAGGAGTGCTTTCTATTTATGCCTGTTTCTATCAATATAAATTAAATTTATCTCAGTACAACTGACTCTAGGTCTTTTTCTAATTTTTAGAACTAGAAAAAGATAAAAAATTAAGTTAATATATATTAAATATAAGTATATTAAGAAGAGCTAAGAGCCAGTTAAAACTCTAATGCTTAAAATAAAAGATTTATTGTTGGTAAATAACAGTTAAGGCTCCTGAATACTCAGCCAAGAACTCCGTGTTGATGGGTAGCGACACCGAATCAGTCGGTGGCTAGCAAAACTGGTAGTACGCTACTAGTTATACACACAATTGCAAGTTCATGTCCGTGTGCTCATTTTCGGGTAGAAAGGGAGCGCACAGCATGGGTTCATGCTTGTGTGTGTATAGCGCCTCGCCATGGTAAAAGTCTGAACTAATAGGCGTGAAAAAGTGATGTTTTGACGACAAATTTTTTCTTGCGTACCATTTTGTCAATATTTGCTTATTTGTGAAAATGTGACTTCCCTCGTACTCGTGAAAGTCCTAAAAATTGGCGGAAACTGCAGTTATCGTGAAATTTTATACGTAAATCGTATATTTCACTCGTTTCATCAGCTGTCAAAATGTGTGATTCTGCCCGAGTATAGGCTCACTTTACGTGCCTTTTACGACCATTTACTGACTATCAGAGGAGGAAAGGACAGTTTCCGCCAATTTTCACAAGTGTTTTTGAGCGATCTCGCCTTTTAAATTTATCCAAATTGTCTTCATTAAAAAATGGGACGCAAGAAAAATTAATGTATTTTTTTCGCCTATGACGTCACAATTCCAACATGGCCGTCGCCGGTATTCAGGAGCCTTAAGATGGTTAAACAATGAAATAATAAAAAGATTATAAATCAACTACAGCTTTGACACAAATTGAAGAGTTGCTCTTAGAAGCTCTTATTTCTATAATATTGTATGTCGTTGTGTAAAGATCTTTCATGTGGTTTGCAATGGTAAAAAAATATAGTTTGCAATGAAAAATTGTAAATCTGTTAATATATATAGGAAATATAATTAAAAAGCGAATTAATGAAGTAAAATTTGTGTAAATAAAAGATATATAAAATAAGTATCTCTGGTTGTCTCTCATAAATATGTTACAAGTGTAGTTAAAATACAAAATAATGTATAAAGGTTGAAGCAAATTACGATGAAGTAACCACTTGTTACTATATGCTGTTATGTGATAAAAAATATCGACATTTAGGAGATAAACTGAGGAAACTGAGAAGGGAAGAGTAAATAGAAGGTGAAGAAAATGAAGTTAGAAAGGAGAAAGAGATTATATGTGCAGATAAGATCAATTAAGTATTAAAATTTTATCTGGCTCATAACCCTTCTCAACATACTTTTATTTATTTTATATTACTTCATACTTGAACCATTCTATATTATATACATATATATTTTTTTAATCTATTTTGCTAGAAACAGGTATCAATGATCATTTAATAACATAAGTCAACATCATTATGTCTCTCTTAACATTTAATAGATCTATTGTTTTTCCCTATACTTATATGGAAAAGAACAGATCTAATAAATGCTAAAGGCTATAAATGGTATACATAGAAAACTTAAAACATAAAACTTAAACAATAAAGAAATCAATAGTTGCTTTCCATTTACACCGATTCTCGGATAATTCTCACTTGTGACATCATAACTCAGTTGAATGAGCATTCCTTTTGCATTCTGAAAAGTGAGATTCAACTGAGTTTTTACCTACAAACTGCTCAAGATTAAAACTGTGTGTGCTTTACGGAGTCTCGTAAAGACTTAAAAATTAAGGTTATGAATTTGTGTTATTTGTTAATTTTACCAAAGTAAAGTAATGGCGAATTCGATTGGATGCACTAGTGCGCACTGAGTGCACCTGAGTTCATTTGTTTTCCTTTTCTCTTCAGGAGAAGGGAAAAGGAAAAAAGATGAACTGGTGCAATCACCCTGCACTGGTGCATCCCAATCGAATTCGCCATAAGTAATGATGTCATTAAATTTCATACTCAGCTCACTTCAGACTCAGTTTCATTTGTGTGTAATGGAAAGCAACTATTGATTCAAAGTAGGGTTGAATCAGGAAGTCAAATAAGTTATAAGTCTTGTCATTTTTCTATGTGCCATGGCCTTAAGAATGCTTAAAAGACAGAACTTTTTCCACAGTCCTTTTTCTTCTTCAATGTGAAAAGAAACACAAGATGGACTATGTAAAAAATTCAGTCCCAGGTATGGAAAAGAACAGGCCTAATGAGTAAGACAAATTGACTTGTAGATTTACGTCACCAAATAAAAAGTACTCTTTGTTTCTTCAATTTATGTTTCTACATCTTTATATTACCAAAGTACTGCAAAAGAAAAATAGAAGATATACCGCGGAATATATAACGAGTGGTCTCGTGTGAAACCGATTGAGACTCGTTGAGTCTCAAATTCGATCCTGACTCCTGTTACATGTATGCCCTTGGTTTAAAAAAAGATACGTTAATTATTTCTTTGGGTAATTATTAGAATTCAAAATCACGATTCAAATTTAATAAAAAATGAAAGAATAAACTGTTCCTTTACGCGCGCGTGAACATGAAATATGAGATATATACCTCCACTTGTGCTCTAATCTTCGCCAAAAGAACTTCAGACGGTTCTTCCGCATCTTTTCCGTTTTCTTTTGTCTCTTGCTGCGCTTTTTCGTCGGCGGCGTCAGTAGTCGGCGTATCGTTATTAACCTCTGCGGTCTTGGTGTCCTCGCTGATCTCGGCAGCAGAATCACCGTTTAAGTGATCATCGTCAGCTTTTATCTCTTCCTTCATCTCTTCCTTCGCCTCATTCTTTGTCTCGTTTTCCATGTTTCAATATTCTACTGACGACAATCACAGAAAGAAATACGACGCAATTTCAAAAAAACGGTTACCATAGGTTTTATACTCTGAAAGCGCACAGAAAGGCCGCTCCACACACGTGCTTCTCGGTTTATGCCGAAAACCGGAAATCAACGGAAATGATGCTATGTCGCTAATTTAATTTAACAAGAAAGCCATATGCATAGTACGACCGGTTCCGCGGAGCTAGAGCACAGTATATACAGTAGCGCAACTCTCCGTCGGCACCTTTGATGTTACCGTAGCCAAAAATGAACTGCACATGCGCGAGCGAGGCGCGTTACCAATCAGGGCACTCTATTCTATCTCACTTCTGCTCTCTGTTTATAACCTTTTCTCTCTTTCTAATTTGTTCTAGCAATGTCCTAACCTAATTTGCACATTTGAACATTTAAGTATTGTTCGTTTTGTCTCTCGGGAGCTGCTCAGAGTTGCTCCGAACGAACCTAGCGTACTTGGATGTGGTCTATTTAATGCTGTAAATACCTCGAAACATACTTTGATTGATCATTCATAAAATTTTTTCTTCTGATTGATCAACGAAGCATTTGCAGCATTAAATGGATCACATCCAAGTACGCTGGGTTTATTCAGAGCGACTCCGAGCAGCTCCCGAGAGACAAAACGGACAATACTTTAATACGCGTACTAACAAGTAACTTTTATAAAATTATCTTAATTTATTCCATTATTCACAGCGAATACAGAGAATCTATAGTTCTCGTTTACACTATATAGATCTTTAGTACTCATAGTAAAAAACGAGACGCATTTGAAAGAGAAAATGAAATAAAAATTAAACATTATATGATGCACATTTATTTCTTAACACTATATTTTGCAATTAAATATACCCACAAAATATATTATTATTAACTAATTGTACAGCAATATTGTATATGTATAGCATATATCTTGTATATATACGGAATTAGAACAGGAAGTCACAATAAAGTCAAAATGACATTAAAATGATTGAAAAATGACTTTTATTGATCATTTTGGAATAATTTTAACATCATTTTGATACAATGATGACTTGTTTTGCTTGAATATATAATTAATGTGGTATTTCATATTTTGAAATATCATATGGCTCGAATAAAATTACTTATATTTATTATATTTTTTTCACATTGAATTATAGTAACCGCAGATATTAGAAAATGCAAGAATACTCTCTCTCTCTCTCTCTCTCTCTCTCATAATTTTGTAATTTAACTTTTTTTATTTAAAATGACGATTATTTTGTACAGATAACCTATTCTCCGTAAAGCTAATTCGGTCTACGTTCTCTGTTTTTTTACACTTTCTTAAATACGTAACTTTCTGAATACACAGAATAATTATTATAATTAAACACGTATCACTTATCACTTTATCACACGTAGTACTTCTCACATAAAATTCGTCGTGTTCCCGCCACTTTCCGTTAAATGGTCCTTTAAATGCCTTAATATGAACATTTCAATGGGGCTGACAGACGCCGACAATAGGAAGAAGAAGTGAGATGGAATACAGTGCCCTGATTGGTTACACGCCTCACTCGCGCATGCGCACTCCATTTTAGGCTTCACAAAATCAGGAGAGTTGCGCTACTGTATATACTGTGCCCCTATATACCAGAGTTAGGCCGGTATTCATAGTCAGTTCTTATATTCAAGACCGTCTTAAGTTCAGTCTTGAAGAGTTACGAACCAATCGGAGGGTCGCTTTAGCACCTTAAGACATTACTTAAGACAGTCTTCAAATAAGAACTGACTATGAATACCGGCCTTAGAGACCCTCTAACAGAGACTGGCCATCAGGCGAGTCCGCCATTTCCTAGCGAAATCCTACAAGTGAGAGAGAAATATAGACCATTTCACTCTTTCACTCACACGAATATGTGCGTTCGTATGTGTTCGTTTATTTAAGTTGATCTGAGTTGATTCAAGGTTGTGTTCGCGGTTTTTGCTCTACAAAATAATAACAATAAAAATGGGTGGTTGCACTGCACAATTCTGGAAAAATTATTTAATATCTGTCTTTAGTCAGGTTACGGCTAAACATGTTTTAAATTATCAATTGTTTCCTAAAATTATTAGAAAGTTTGTCGTATTCAAATTAAGAACATTAAGTAAGAAAAATACTAATATTAATAGAAGATATGATAGTAAATCATTGGCAGTACATACCTTTTTTAAATAAATTTTACAAATGTTAAGTGTTTTTACTTTTCTCACTGATTTCCTAACCTTACTTTAATTTTATTTGAAAAAGATTTAATAGAATTAAGAAAGGGAATATTAAATATAGAAATTATTTAACGTATAAACAAAAAGAACGAAGACAATATAAGAGTCAATGTTTAAAATTTAATAACAAAGTCAAAAATTAAATCATAAATGTTAAAAAACAGCTATTATAACAAAGTTATTTAAAGATAAAGATGTATATAACTGACGATAAAACTTGACATGTTTTTTTTTATTTGACGTATATTATTTATATTGATGTAAAAAGCACGGTTTCAATATTTCTATAATATTTATCATTACATACTATTTACATTCCAAGTAAATGCAGTAATTGAAATTTGAATACTAGCGGGAATCGCTAGGAAATGGCGGACCAATCAAAAGTGGCACCCTGATGGCCAGTCTCTGTTAGAGGGTCTCTAACCAGAGTCTGAACACGAGAGAGACAATTTTTGATTGGTCTGTCGCAGTCTGTCGTTTGTGGCAACTCCCGCTCCAATTCAAACGTCGATAACCTTATAGATTCATATAGGATAGAAATGTATACATAAACTTTTAAAATATTTTAATTTTTTTAACGAATATTAATTAACTTCACAAAGAAGTGAATTGTTTGTCGGTACCCAATCTTCTCGGTTAACATTTTTTACCCATATAACTCGTCGTTCAGAATTTTTAGGAAATCTTTTCATTGTATCAATATCCTTTGATAGCTATTATTACAATACGGAACAGCGCAGCCACCCATTTTTACTATAAATATTTATTTAATATTATTATTTTTAATATTTTTTACGCTGTTAACTTAAATAAAAGAGTATATACAAATAAATACATTACATTAAGGTTAGAATTAATAGACGAAGATAGTGTATATATATATGTATATATATCTTTCTCTCTCGTAGCATTTTGCCACAATCGCGCTCGTGTCCAGACCACTCCAGACTCTGGTATAGTCATATATGTAATACTACTATATGGCTAGATGAGAGAGAAGTCCATGTCCCAGAACCACGGTGCGGGAATATACTTCTCTCTCTTTCTCAGCGTACTTTGAACGTTGTGCGCATGCGTCGGATTCATCCCCTCCATCAATAATAAATAGAAGGATAAATATACATATATGTGTAAGGAAGAAGGAAAAAGTGATTGATTCCGCTTCAGGGTATAACCTTGTTACAGTTAACAGAGTCAGTTTAGTCGGAATAAATAAATTAATCCTAATTTTATGAAATAAACTTTTTCAAAATTGCCGTTATGTATATAAGAATACAGTGCAATCCCTTACAGAAATTTCATGATAATCAGTGCAAACTAATACCTATGTCATACCTATGCAGACTAATGTTTTCAGTCGCATTAGGCGAATTAGGCTTTTTGCCACATAAATAACATATCTTGACCATTTTTGCCTGTGTACAATAGCACACATCTAATAAGCATAACGAGCATAAAGGTTCTTTTTCATGCGCAGCACGCTGCAGCAGCAATTCGTTACTATTGGTTAAGAATTTTATGTAAGCTAGATGACGCACTTCCGGCGCAAAATACATTTTGCCGCAGTTCGTTGAAGTTGAACCGAACGAACAGCAAGCAGCAAGCGGCAAAATCGAGGCAATATTATTTATTGCAATAAATATTAGGAAAATAAACGAAGAATGGCTTCGGATAAGGTACGAATGTTTGTAAATTAGATTATTTTATACTTTACACTTTACTTTTTCAAATTTGTGGTACAGTATAAAATGATCTAATTTACAAACATGTATCCGTACCTTATCCGAAGCCATTTTTCGTTTATTTTCCTAATATTTATTGCAATAAATAATATTTTCATAATGAAACGACGGACATATTGTACGCTTTCTCGATTTTGCCGCTTGCTGCTTGCTGTTCGTTAGGTTCAACTTCAACGAACTGCGGCAAAATGTATTTTGCGCCGGAAGTGCGTCATCTAGCTTACATAAAATTCTTAACCAATAGTAACGAATTGCTGCTGCAGCGTGCTGCGCATGAAAAAGCACCTTAACCTGTTCGCGTCATCTCACTGATCGCACTCTATTTTCCTATTGGCGGATGCAATCAATCCAACGCATGCGCATAACACTCAAAGTACTCTTAGAAAGAGAGGGAAATATATATTCCCGCACCGTGGTTCTGGGACCGCTTCCTCTCACTCCCTCTTATAGGCACTAGCCATATAGTAGTATTACATATATGGGTATAGTGTTGGCGCGATAGAGGGATTGCTAGACGCAATCTCGAGCATGGATGTGTGGCGCTGGATGTATGGCGTTGTTGTCGACTTCCTTTGTCTTCCCGCGCGCTATCTTTTCCCGCCTTAAAGCTCGATCTACAATTGCGTAAACGTACACCCACGGTAATTAATTCTGTCCCTCGGAAATTTTCACAAAATGAAAAGTGACCTCCTTTCTGTATTAATTATCACTATTCATGCACGATAAGGTTCAGTCGTAACGTTAATCGTGCATAGATTGTGACAATTAATATAGAAAGGTTTTTTATTTTGTGAAAATTTCCGAGGGACAGAATTAATTACCGTGGGTGTAGTTGTAAGTGGTGTAGTTATAAGAATTGACCAATGACAGTCGAATATTCTCCTCGTATTCAACTGTGATTAGTCAATTCTTACAACTCAACTACGTTTACGCAATTATAGATCGGGCTTTACTTGCTTACCCGCTTTCGTGAGTGGTACACATATAATAGTCCGGTAAATGAACGTTTTCGCCTGACAATTCTTTCAATAGTCATCGATTGACTTGAAATTTTTACAGGTGTTAGAGAATAGCACAAGGAACAAAAGTGACCCAGTGCCGACGTCCGCTTTTTCTTTAGGGGTGGTTCCCCCCCCTTTTTGGGGGTTGAATTTTTTTTGGCCAAAATAACCCCGGGAATCGATAAAGTGATTAATTTTAAATAAAAAATGTAGTATGAACTTTTCTTTGTAAACCAATACTTTTCGAGTTAATAGCGATTGAAAGTTAAGAATTTTCATTGAAAAAAAGCACTTTTTGAAACGGGTTTTGCGAAATAACTCAAAAAGTAAGCGTTTAATCGGAAAAACCATGAGAATGGAAATTGTAGCTTATTAAAAAACGAACAAAACCCTGTTTTTATAAGCACTGTATGTGAAATACAGACCTACGTATGAATAATTTACGTTCAGTATGAAATCGCAAAGTACTGAAATTTAAATGTTTAACATGAAATTACGGGAAAACAAAGAAAATTTCGTGGAAAACTTATTGAATCTTTTTCAATCTACTTGAAAAGAGCTTCAAAATGAGCACTTATATAAGTTGATTGTACAAAAAATGACGGAGATATGATAGAAATAAGAGTAGTATCAATATTTTTCAGCATAAAAATTCTCAACAATACCCGCACCATTACCACCAAAATCAAAATTGGACGTAATCATGCTACAGTTCCCTTCACTTGAGTACTATCATTGTGCTCCAGCAGTTTTGAACGTTTTAAATGCCTGGTTTAGAAAAAAAGTTTGATTGAATAAAAAGATATTTTTTTTAAATTCAACAAAAATTTCCTTTCTTTTTAGATTCCTCAAAAACTGAAGTAGATACGAAAAAATAACAAGTATAACAAAAGTTTGGATTTTTAATGTACTATAAGTTCTTTTTTTTTGTTTTCTGTAGCATTAAAACTCGCTGAGTTGTGAACATTTGAAGTTTGCATGTTACAGTGAAAGTCCTCTTTCCGTATCCCTTTAAACGACAGAATTTTAAAAATAAGGATTTTAAATAAGTTTTAATTCATGAGAGCTTATAGCTACGAAAATTTTCAACAAAATCGTTTTTTGATGGACTCTGTAGCTCAAAAATTAACCGAGTTATCGTAAGAAAACCAAAAATTTTTATGCTGAAAAATATTGATACTACTCTTATTTCTATCATATCTCCGTCATTTTTTGTACAATCAACTTGTATAAGTGCTCATTTTGAAGCTCTTTTCAAGTAGATTGAAAAAGATTCAATAAATTTTCCACGAAATTTTCTTTGTTTTCCCGCAATTTCATGTTAAACATTTAAATTTCAGTACTTTGCGATTTTATACTGAACGTAAATTATTCATACGTAGGTCTGTATTTCACATACAGTGCTTATAAAACAGGGTTTTGTTCGTTTTTTAATAAGCTACAATTTCCATTCTCATGGTTTTTCCGATTAAACGCTTACTTTTTGAGTTATGTCGCAAAACCCGTTTCAAAAAGTGCTTTTTTTCAATGAAAATTCTTAACTTTCAATCGCTATTAACTCGAAAAGTATTGGTTTACAAAGAAAAGTTCATACTACATTTTTTACTTAAAATTAATCCCTTTATCGATTCCCGGGGTTATTTTGGCCAAAAAAAATTCAACCCCCAAAAAGGGGGGAACCACCCCTAAAGAAAAAGCGGACGTCGGCACTGGGTCATTTTTGTTCCTTGTGCTATTCTCTAACACCTGTAAAAATTTCAAGGCAATCGATGACTATTGAAAGAATTCTGAGGTTTTTCAATATTTTACGTTCATTTACTAGACTATAAAGAGGTATCTTTGCGCGGACACTTATAGTGTGCTACATATATGTTTTTCGTAAATATAAAAAAGGCTGTACTAATCACAAAATAAAGTATATATTGTGTGTTCAGCATAATCAAGACTATTATTAAGCGGTATCAACCATTCGTTCTGTCTAATCTAAAAAGTCAATAAATTTACTTAAAATGGGTACACATCCAGAAGCACGATCGCTCACTGAGCGTTTAGTGAGTTCTTGTACCTGTTTGGTATATATATTTTTAGATCTAATGAAATATGCCAATCAGATAAAAAAGCTCACTAAGCGCTCCTGAGCATGCAGTGAGCTTTTTTATCTGATTGGTCAAAAAAAGTAAGCGGTTGTGCTTCTGGATGCACCCATTTAGAAAAATTCCAACCTTTTTAGTGACTTGTAAATTGCAAATATATTCGGTATAATAACGGAGCAGCCTTTTTAACATTATCAACATCAAAGATAGTATTAAAATAATATCTTAAAATAATTAACAAAATAAAGTAAAATAATTATAAATATAGAAAAATAAATATATACTTACTCGCAAAAAAAAGACCAGGTCGCTATAAATTTATAATAGTCCATTTTGTGTGCATGTATGTGTATATATGCGTGCGTGTGGGTATATAAAAAAAGGTGGACTGCCGTGTGTAAACGAAAATTTACGAACGTATGCGTAAAAAAATTATCAAATATCACACTTGTGTGCAAATATACCTACCCATCTCGTCGGTAATAAAAGTTACTCTCGAAGTTAACAAAATCGAGTTTTGGAACGCACTCCAGATAGTTTTATTGTAGTCCACTTTGATTAGTTGAATTCTAATAAAATTTAAATCTTGCAATGTTCATAATTTTCATTAATAAGACCATAATATATTATTTAATTTGTAATTTTTTATTGTATAAGTATTTATAAGTGTGCATACTTATAATATTATATCATGTGGCAAAATTATCATTTTTTTTCTCTAGTTTTCTCAGCGCAAAACGCTATAAAATTGCAATATTCAAATTTTAAAAACTTATGACACAATTTTAAAAAATGCATTATAATTGGAAAAATATATCATGGGAAGTAAGTGAAGTTATGCACATTCATTAGCTTAAAAGTAAAATTCAGAATTTTAAAAATGCTGTTGAAAAATTCCTAATTTTTAGATATCATTTTTCTATTAATAAAATGATATACATTTTTCATATCTAATATAACTCTTACCCTCTTTATTTCTTCACGTCACAGTTGGAATAATAAAGCTAATCAACAAGTATGTACAAAATAATGTCAAACATTCAGACTTCTGTTTGGTATTGTCAAGAAATATAAAAGAGATTAGACGGTTATACAATGTTCATGTGCCTTTAAATTAATTAACTTTAAGATTGTTGACATTCTTCCTCCTGATCCCACGTCAAATGTTCGCGGGAAGGCGGTTCCCATGGGTCTGTTGTACAGCATCTGCATGCACTGTTCCCACTTCACAGACGACATAATTTGCTTAAGCAAGTATTTTCTGATTAATGCCGTATTGCCGTACGGATACGCTTTGTAATTGGAATAGACGTGACATCTGAAATCGTCGAATTCTAACGTATGAAGCATCTTCTCGAAGGACTTGAGCGCAGGTTTCATTAATTTTGAGTGGAATGCGCCCGATACTGGTAGCCTAGTTAACTTGGAAAGTCCGTACTTCTTTGCGTTCTCTTCTATGTACTGAAGAGCCTGAGTATTCCCAGCCAAAATCTTTGATTGAGTGTACAAATATACTGCCACCCTACAATAATTTTTTTCATAATATCTAACATAGTATTTCTACATACATTTATTATAAATTATCTTGAATTCACAATTTTAGTAATTAAATTTAATTACAATGTATGTGATAATAATAGGAGCATATCAAGTCTCCAGACCAAACAGAACATGTTGGAAACATGTATTTGATAAAATTCAATTTTTAATTCAGAAAATTGTGAAATATATTTGCAGAACATATTCAGATACATTGTTGTCAATAAATATTGAATCAAAATATAGGTAACATTGAATGATAATGGTGCTTTCTAATAAGAGACACAGTGATTTTTTCATCTATATTTAACATTGGTAAACAGCAAAAATTAATTCAGCAGTAATGTACTATTGTATGTTACTATATTACATCCATGTTTCCTGCTAGAAAGCGTCCATCTGAAATATCAATATATTTCAGATATATATATTCAAATGTACATATTTAAAAATTTTTTTATCTTATGGGAAATATAAACTCATATGCCAAAGTTTCTTCAAAAAACCATAAAGAATATTTGTCACCTAATTTGTTTCTAACATTTTTTATCTAGAATTTAATGACCAAATTTCTTGGTGTAGATAAAACATAATTCAAAAGAGAATAGTTGAAATGATTCTTACTGACAAACTGGCATCTCTACACCACAATCTTGTGCCCATTTCTCAGCATCCTTACATGCCTGTAATAATGAAGCTTGTGGAGTACAATGGACCGACAACATTCCTTGAGGGCATTTATCAGAAGCATACTGCATTGCGGCACCTCTTACAGAAACCAGTCTGATTCCATTCTCAAAGGATAAAGCGCCTGAGAAGATCAGGGCGGTCAGTTCTCCTACACTATAGCCTGCAACTGCTTTACATGTTTCGAATACCCTGGGCCTTTCCTCTCGAAGTTGCTCCAGTGCAGCCAGTGAACTCACCACTGTGGCTGGCTGATTAAAACGAGTCTGATCCAGCTTCTCCTGTGGACCATGTAAGCAGAGATTCAACAGATTGTAATCCAGAATCTCGTTGGCCATCTCAAATAATTCTCTAGCCTGTGGAAAGCGCAAGTATTTCTGCACCATGCCGACTTTTATGGTACCCTGTCCTGGAAAGAGCACAATGCAAGTATCTAATGGATTAATCTTCGGCTTGACTTCTTCCTCGACGGAGGTAGGAGCATCAGCCGGATAAGGGCTCGTTGTCCAATTTGTATCCTTGACATCGGTGTATGTGGCAGCTTCCTTCAGAAGGCGAGAAACGTTCTCCTCACCCAAGGAAGATTCGACATCGCTTGTAGCATGTTCATTTTGTGGTTTACCGATATTCGATATATTGTTACTGTCGTTTTTCGTAGCAGCGGAATCAGAGAATTTGTTTACCTGTCTTAAGAATAACAAACGACTCAAACAGGGCGTCATTTTACCAGACAGAATCCGCTGGAATATCGTTACTGATAACATTGTGATTAACGACCATTAACGGTGCTATCTCAAAATATATAATTTGACATATACCCCGTTCGTGCGTGACTATCAGTTTAAATTTATCGTTAATTACAACGTACAGTTAGAATCACGTGTATCGCATGTCAAGACGTTTATTCCATTCTCTGTCATTATGACATAACCAAAACACATGTTCGACACCAGGTACTGTAAAATTCGAAAAAATCTACTGCTGGATTCACATTAGTAACCTAGGGTGCTTACGCATGAAGCGGGGAGCACAGACTTTTGCATAACGCATAATACATATACATAAGGAATTTCATTATGAAATTTCTTATGCATGAGTCAATGGACCAATCAAATTCTTTATGTATATGGTTTATGCGTTATGCAAAAGTCTGTGCTCCCCGCTTAAGGTCTATCGCACATGAAATGCATAACTGTGCATAAGCATAACATAAGGCCGCTGGACCAATGAGCATCTTATGTTAATCAATATGGGTCTTTATGCTGGATGCTCATTGGTCCGGCGGCCTTATGTTATGCTTATGCACGGTTATGCATTTCATGTGCGATAGACCTTAAGCGGGGAGCACAGACTTTTGCATAACGCATAAACCATATACATAAAGAATTTGATTGGTCCATTGACTCATGCATAAGAAAATGAGCCAATGAAATTTCTTATGTACATACTTTATGCGTTATGCAAAAGTGTGTGTTGGGGCTCTTAATTCGCACCTAATGCGGCGTAAAACCAAATTTAACTCGATGGAAATACGTTTGACTCTGCTCATTTCACTTCCACTTCGATCCACAACTTCTACCAGAGTGGCAGCAAATTGTCATTAAATTTTAGTCGGTGGAAACCAAAGACATAGAGAATGGACTGCGCGATTCCGTATCTAAGTAGTATCAAAATGTGTCGACGAAAATGAGAGAGAGGGTCCGTGGAAGACGGCCATCTCTATCTTTTTCCATTCGATGGTGTAATGGAAGAGAGAATGAGAGGGAGATGGCCGTCTTCACATGGACATAGAAATATAGGGACAGAGCATAACGTTGCGGGGGGGAAGTCACTGCGGGACGGTGCGACGAGGTAATACATGCCTAAGTCTGATTGGCTGTTATTGTACGCATGTGCAAGTGACAAGTGTGATATATGTGCATGCAACTCTAACCTCTAACTGGGTTCAAGTCTCAGCACCGGTGAAGTCCTGACATTTTTTCTCGGCTTAGCTCTCACATAATATCTTGAAATTAAAATGGTGCAATGTTGTGTACCGAATTGTAGAAATAGATCCGACATTCAAAATTGGAAATGGACAAGCAGTGTGAACAAAAATCGTAAAATTACATTGTAATTTATGTATTTATGTATTTTTTTTATTATACTCTGTTCTCTGTTCCTTTTATTCTGCATAGCTTTTAAGTATTTTAATACGTATATTGCCTTGGATTATTAAAAGGATAACACGATTTTCAACTTATGGATCGACATTTTGAGTCTTCCAGCAAATATCTCAAAGAGTGCTCGTATTTGCTCAGATCATTTTTCTAAAAAATCTTTTGATACCATTGGGTCACGAAGGCGACTAAAACCAAATGAATTACCATTGAAAGTACAAAATATAATATTTCTTTGAAGTGTCCTAATGGAATATTTACTTATGGTACATAAATATTTAGATAAATGAAAAAAATGATAGTTGATTCAAACTAATGATTCTTAGATCTAATAAATACGTGTCTTTACATTTATTAAATGTTTCGCTAGAACTATTCAAAGAAATATTTATTAAAATTTAGTAAATTTTTTCATAGTGAATAAAAGTACCAAATAAATAGTAATTGTTTAATATTGAATATGCGTACATATTTTTATTTTTCTCATTAGAACTTCTATATAATTCCTTCTCAGATTTCTAATTATTGTTTTATTTTGTTAATCTTATTGGTAATGGGTTACAATTAATTTTTTAACAACGAATTTTTATCATTTTGTTTCGATCATTTATTTGCGATTGGCCGCTAAGTCGATGTTACACGATACTGAGCATGCGCATAGCTGTAGCCAATAAAATTTAGGCATGTACTCCCCCCGCATTTCAGAATAACCCCCCTCGCCTATCTTCGGAGCTAATATAATGCTATGTCCCTATATTTCTATGTCCATGAATCAAACAGAAACAAGGTTTGTTTGACATGCGCAGTCAGGAATTGAAAACGACTATCAGAGCGATAGAGAGGACTAAAGGAGCGCAAGAGTGGGGGAAGTTATCCGTCGTCACTTTTTGGCCTACCTCCTCTACCGATATTTGACCGAGTTTACTCTCCTGGTTCTAGCCTTCTTGCGCGCAATATAACTTCGATATTTCGTTCCATTGTAAATGTTTATAATATCGCGATTATTTGCTGTTGGATGTAACCATGAAGGAAGATATAAGGAGACTCCATATATGTAATACTACTATATGGCTAGATGAGAGAGAAGTCCATGTCCCAGAACCACGGTGCGGGAATATACTTCTCTCTCTTTCTCAGCGTACTTTGAACGTTGTGCGCATGCGTCGGATCATCCCCTCCATCAATAATAAATAGAAGGATAAATATACATATATGTGTAAGGAAGAAGGAAAAAGTGATTGATTCCGCTTCAGGGTATAACCTTGTTACAGTTAACAGAGTCAGTTTAGTCGGAATAAATAAATTAATCCTAATTTTATGAAATAAACTTTTTCAAGATTGCCGTTATGTATATAAGAATACAGTGCAATCCCTTACAGAAATTTCATGATAATCAGTAATGATACAAATACATGTTTCGATTGGAAAAATATATATCCAAGAATAAACACAACCTTCGGCCAATAAAGTTCTTCAGCTTCTTGGTTACGGTATAGTTGTCTGAATCTATTTTAGTATTAAAACAATTGTACATAAATTTTCTAAAAAACTAATACGCAAATATTGTAACTAAATTTTCCAAAAAACTAATACGTAAATATTAGAATAATAATTAAAAAATTCTATATGTATAATTGACCAATTATTATGCTTACCCTCAGATTAGCGTAAAAAATATTTATATATGTATGAATCCAAATCAGCCTCTCTCACAAACATCATTCTTATTTTTGTGAACGAATTCGTTCACAAAAATAAGAATGATGTTTGTGAGAGAGGCTGATTTGGATTCATACATATATAAATATTTTTTACGCTAATCTGAGGGTAAGCATAATAATTGGTCAATTATACATATTGAAAATTTTTTAATTATTATTCCAATATTTACGTATTAGTTTTTTGGAAAAGTTAGTTACAATATGTGCGTATTAGTTTTTTTTTTTTTTTTT